TTGTGACTGACTAACATAATTTAATAATACACATTATACAAGAAAACACAGTGGTTCACAGTACACACAATCACACGTGATGCTGTGAGGCTGAGAATAGAGTTGACACTGATGTTATTTTCCTGATGTTTTTCCAAAGTCTCAGGATCTTTGAAATATTTTTGTCACCATATTTTCCCTCATGGCTCTGATGATATAGTATTTAAATATAATCAAGGATTCAAATCCATCTCTACTCAGTCTTTGTTAAGGAAAAATAAATGGCAAACAAACAGACAGACTCACCGATGACTGTGTGGATGAGGAGCAGGCCCGGCATGTCTGCTGCAGTGCTCACCTCCTTCTCCTCCTCCTCCTCCTACCTCGGCTCTGTATGAATGGACCGATCCCGCAGAATTCAATAGAGGATGTGGATGGTGCTGGCCAGGGGAAAGGATGTGCGCATGGCCCCGTGCAGCGTCTTCCGTGCGGACTCTGCCAACAGCCTGTCTTCGGTGTCCGTGTGGACGGTGGGGCAGATGGACAGAAGACGATGAAGGTCGGAGCTGGATCTGAGCTGGTCCTGCTGCTGCTACTGCTGCTGCTGCAACTCCAACACTGGATATTAGTGTGGCGGCTGCTTGTTGTTCACACCGATCACCGCCAGAGGCCGCCAGACTGCAATACTGCTTTATGAAGGTAAACAACTCGTTCTAACTTTTACCCTATACGTACACAATTGACCAAGAATGTCAATAAAAGAAAAACTAAACTAAAATCATTACTTTTTAAAATACCACATGTACACTTTCACACAACGTTCTGCAGCTGTGTTATGCCATCAACATGTTTTAAAAGTGATAGTATATAGGGATCAGCTGGTTGCACTGAGGACATTTTTGTAAAGAGTAAAATCTAAATAAATGCTAATTAATTAATTAATTAATTAATTAATTTTTATACCAGAATAGAGCATGTGAGACAGAAGGCCAGTTCTCAAACTGTGGTACCTGTACCACTGGTCACTTGGAATTAAGGTGTGATTTGTACTGGTACTTCATTAGCAGTTCCAATAAATAAGCTAATAACAAAAATTATTAGCTGAACAGTGTAGGCCTGTACTGTGCATTAATCATTGGTCGTACTGGTAGTACTTAAAGAGGCAAATTTTTCAGGGGTGGAATGTAATAAATGCAATTTAAAAAATAGACACTAGTCTAAAAGGAGAGTTGTGAGTATGTTACAAGAGTTTAGCTAACTTGGCTTATCCGTTGAAACAGATACTCTAGTCTGATACTGATCTTTCGGAGGGCAAGTAGTTGCAAGTTTTTAAAACTAAACCCAGAAAACAGTCACTGACTTTGGATGACTGTATTTACAGCCCCCCCCCCTTTCGTACGCCCCTGTTGGGCTCTGTTGGGCGGAGCCACAGCAGACAAACCTGGCAACCCGGACAGTTGATTTTGTTAACACTTGACTGATGAAGATGGGGGATATGGAGGAGCTCAACGATGAAGAGAAGGTATAAAAATAAACAATCTTCGCTGTCGCTGGGTTATTGTTCTCCTTTTGTTCGCTTTTAACCATGAAATCGTCGCTGTTTTGAGGCACAATAATACCGATCTCTGTCCAGACATCGTGCTGCTGTCTGACCCTGCGGAGTTAAACATATGTTGTTGTTGCCGTGAAAACACACGCGCGCACACCTGCACGGATGTTTTGTGTGTGTGTATGTGTGTGTGTATAAAATAGTCCTCTGAACAATCGAATATAACCTTCTGTGAGTGGATTTATTGAAAACAGAATGAATGCAGTGGGAGGAAGTTGGGCTACTTCCTGCATTTTACAGTGGGGATCATGACATGGCATCCACACCCAGTGTCTGTTTCTGCATGATCTCCCAGCTGAAACTAAAGCTTCTTTTTACTGCAGCACTCACACTTCAATGTGTGTTTCTCGTTCTTTTTGGATTTTTCGGATTTCAGAAGTGTTTTTTACCTCCCGAGAGAGTGCTTTGAGCTAACACTCCCCCAACTGCCGTCACCTCCTTCAACCTCCTCATCACTGTCATGCAGCTACACGCTGTAAAAGAACTCTGTACATTCCTGATAGCTGCTGGACTGGTCAGAGCATCACTGCACTCTCTGCAGTGAAAACAAGACAACACACTCTGTAGGAATTTAAATAATGATGAACAGCATGCGTACAACGGCGGTGCGGACGTGGTCACTGCACTTTGAATGACTCATTCACATGCACACTAGAATCTGGGTTATTTGATTGTGAAGCGGCTTTCTGGCCCAACGACCCAGTGGCCTGTTCCTGGGTCACTGCCAGCTGCAGCCCGCCCTCTAGGCTCAGTATGTGAATCTATACAATGTCAGGCACCACTCACCGTGAAACCACAGCACGACAGGCTGCGCTTCTACAGCCTCTGTGTTCAGTGTGGCTTCGACACCACATGCTTACACTTGCATACAGTCTTCTAAGAAAAACCCCGGGGCAACATTCCCCCGCCTGCCATGTAAGGAGTGGCCGGCAGAGACTGAACAAGTCTGTGTGCAGCCAACAAAGTCAGTGGCACGCTGCTCTCTGCTTCCCCCTAGTGGCAGTATTTAGGCATTTAGTAACTAAACTTTCAAACAAACAGCTCTAGCATACAAATCGTTTACACCCATCAGTTCACGGCCTAGTAATAAAGATCTGTCTACTATCATCATAACTATCTGTTCTATATCAAGACTTTTGATGTGTCTGCAGGTTCGTATCGCAGCTAACTTTGTGCTGCACGCTCCTCCAGGAGAGTTCAATGAAGTCTTCAATGGTAAGATTATTTGTTTGACATTTTCACATATTTTGTATGAATTGAATGGATACAATTTCGATTGTCATTTTTATGTCAAACATATTTTTTGTTTGCCAAACCATTCAAATAAGTTGCTGCTCCAATGATGCAAAGTCATCATCATTCATAGAAAATCACCGTGCAGTGAAACACATCTCACTCATACAGATTTGTTCTCTTTTGCCTGTATGTTGTTTTTATCCACGCTAAGGCTCTAACAAGTACATAAACATGCCCATACTATGTCTACATGTGAGTTTGTAAGTACTGTTGCTACCTCTTATATCCAGATGTACGACAGCTGCTCAACAATGACAATCTCCTTAGAGAGGGCGCAGCACAGTGAGTGGAACCTAATGTTAAATCCACCAAATGATATTGTTAATACACACGTACATACATAGATATATCTTACTGTTTTTATGTACCTTTCCCATCTAGTGCCTTTGCCCAATATAACATGGATCAGTTCATCCATGCCAAAGTGAATGGATATGAAGATCGGGTAAGATGGAATGTCATTACCTTTCCACTGCTTTCCACTTCACAATCTTTGAGTATTAAATGCGTGTGTCAACCTGCAGTGAGGCTTCAGTTGATCAGTACTAGCTGTTAGCTATTTGTTCTTTTGTTTCTTATAATAAAATCATATCTAACACAACTTACATAATGAAGTTAAAGCAGCAGCAGAGATACAATGATAAAGTCTTAATGACTGTGTGTAGTTACACGTGAATACACAGACATTTTCCAGACAAATATTCTGTAGATAATGGATGTTAATTATTATTTTTTAATGATGACACAGATGACATTTAAAACATTGGTTCTTTTGTTTCCACCTTCAGGTCCTGATAACAGAACACGGAGACCTTGGCAACGGCCGCTACTTTGACCCCCACAATAGGATCTCCTTTAAATTTGACCACCTGAGGAAAGAGGCCAGTGATGCCAAACCCCATGAGGGCGAGGCTTCTCTGAGGTCATGGAGAGATGCCTGTGATTCTGCCCTGAGGGCCTACGTCAAGGAGCACTACCCTAATGGAGCCTGGACTGTAAGAGTGCTGAGCCGACTGCGCTGCTGCTGCCACATTCTGCAGGCCACAGGCCACACGCCCATTTATTATGTCTGATCTGCTGCAGGTTTACGGGAAGACGATTGATGGGCAGCAGACCATTATCGCTTGTATTGAGAGTCATCAGTTTGAGCCGCAAAACTTCTGGTAAAGTTGCAGCACATGATCTTGATGAGTAAATTCACATTTACTCAGAAACTTACATTAAGTTGTGTATTTAAAAACAAAATGCCTTTCTCAACGCTCCCAGGAATGGTCGTTGTCGATCTGAGTGGAAGTTTAGCGTGTCGCAGTCTACAGCAGAGGTGGTGGGAGTCATGAAAATACAGGTAGAGAGAAGTGAATGGTGAAAGATTTCATAAAATAAATAAATAAAATGTTGAATTGAAATGTAATTCTCTGCAGGACTGTCTCCTCTGTTAGATTAATTATGCTAGCAAACAGAATAAGGTTTAGAAATTAAAATGTTTTAAATTTTGTCTTTTTTACCACCGGTAGCAACAAAAAAGTGGTTTGTTGGTTGGAAGTCCAGCTTTCACAGTTGCCCAGTGCTCATTTACTCCCAGTAAAGTCAGGCATCTGTAAAGGTGACTCATGTCCAGTGTTGCCCAGTTTTGAAGCCCCATAGAAGCTGAGCATCAACAGGGTTTAATACCCTCTCACTAAAGGACAAAAGATACGAGCAAGTCTTAACAGACTCTCTGTGTGACTTTATTCAAATAAATGCCAGTGAGATATTATACCTTAGGTTAACATCTGCAGATATACAGTACTGTAGTACAGTCAATGCTGTACTGTGGTGTAGTTTCATTTCAGTATATCATTGTTTAGTTTCACTGTTTCATGTGTGTATTTTTGTTGTTGATCTCAGGTTCATTATTACGAGGATGGAAATGTTCAGCTGGTCAGTCATAAAGATGTGCAGGAGCCTCTGACGGTGTCTGTGAGTAATCTTTATTATGCTTTTAAATTCAAACAATCTGAAATCACAAAGAAAATATTCTATACTTTTTAACTGTTTGAAAACACCTAAGAGTTTTTTCTTGTTTTTGTAGAATGAGAGCCAGACAGCCAAAGAGCTGGTGAAAATTATTGAAGAGGCAGAGACCAACTACCAGGTGTGACTGATGGGTTAATCATAAAACTTTAAGATGACCCAAGTGTCACAAACTTGTCAATATTTATTATTTATTATTTTTTACAGTTGGCCATCAGTGCGAACTACCAGACCATGTCCGACACCACCTTCAAGGCCTTACGCAGACAGCTCCCTGTGACCCGCACCAAGATCGACTGGAACAAGATCCTCAGTTACAAAATTGGCAAAGAGATGCAGAATGCATAGAGGACAGAGACCCCGTCTCCCGATGCCTGATGTGTCTGTGTCTCCGCACAATCTTCAGCATGTCTCCACGACATCACGGCTTGTGTCAAACGGATGCCTTTATTTAACGAGACTCTAGAGAATCTAATGTTCGTGGCTTGGTAGAAATACATAGATACAGCATTTTATTTGTATTTATCAGTGACACTGTGAGACACGGGCCTGTCCTTCAAACGCAGTCAGGACGTGTGTCATTGTTGTCAGTGCTACCAAACACGTCTGTATGCTCCCAAAATATATTCATCCAGAACAAAAATATATATATAGAGAGAGAAAAAAATAACTGCTATTCTTTTAGAGCTTCCAATACCTCCACAGTTTCTTATGTTATTAACAGAGATGCTGTTTGACTTGTTACCAGCTGCAGAGACTTGAAAACATTCGTGCATTTGTGACATAATGGAAAAGTATTCATGTCTTTTTTTGTTTCCTCCCTGCTAAATATATAATATATTATTCTTTATTTTGATTTTACAAGGGAATATTTGAATGAACATCCCTAAAAGCACACACACAAACTTATGAGTTGTGAGTACATCACATAGACATAATGCATTCCCTAACCTTAAATATTACAAATGTATGCCAAATCCTAATCCTTAATTCTAATTCTAACCCAGATCTAATTCCTTTCCTAAACTACAAAATACACTCATTCCTAATAGATCCTGAGACATGTCCCCACGAGGACAAAGGGTCCTCCCTAGAAATGATGTTGTCCCCACAAGGATAGTACACATAGACACACACACACAATCAAAATGTTAGTCTTCATTAATTTCCTCCTTGGTACATGGGTAGACTTTCTTATTAACCACACCCTGAGTACACACACACACACACACACACCCAGTCAAATGTATTAATGTCTTGCTTGGCATTTTCATTTACTATATATTTTTTACAAACTGTGAGTACAAGATAATATTCTTGAAATAAATGTTTTCTTTCAGTACATAAGCTTGGGTTTAATTCTTTTTTTTATTCACAAGTAAAACTGAAATATAGACTGAAAATAGTTTGTTTAAATATCTGCAACGACAGAGCATGAACCCAGAACTAACTACTTATCTTTAAA